AATGTTTGCTGGTTGCAAACTCCCAGAAGCCATCCAAAGCTCAATCCTCTACGCAACTATCAGCCAAAAGATGCCCAAACTGCCTTCTTGGCCTGCTATTCTGAGTCAGGTAGCCTGACACAATAAGACCAGTGGCCCATTACAGACCCTGCTTGGTGCCTCTTTGGCTGGTAGAAGGAGCAGGGTCTGTGGTAGAGACTCACGGACATCTACCAGGCAGGCATTTGAAAGTGAATTCAGGATAAAACCGACAGATCCTCTTCTTCCCCAAGAGTACTTTTTCCTTTAGATCACACAACAGGAACTTAAAGTGCTCAGCCAAAATCCCCAATAGGAAACATAAATCTCTAGAACATTTTAATGACATTAATATCTCCCAAATGCCTAAAAATATTCCTTTAAAATGAGTTAAGAGAAAATGCCCTTCTCATTCATAAAGCCCAAGCACTCAAAAGTCCTGAGAAGTGACCTCCCTGACCCAGAAAATAATAAATTAAGAACTCAACTGATCTTTTTTTTTTTTCTTTCTTTTTCTCTTTCCAACTATAGTCTTCCTCTGTGGTGAATAAATTAAAAAGAGCCAGCCCATCCACGGCAACTATGTGCAGAGGCCTGAATCGCTTCCAAAAGTGGGTTGGTAGGCTTGGGAGGTGTCACAGTATGGGACGCGGACATCCTCATGGTCCCATCCCTAAAAGGTCTCAGCATTTGCTATTTTGTATTCACTGATCTGGGTTTCTTGCCGCTGTTTCTAAAGAACACAGGGTTCAGCCCCCTCCCCAAAACTGATGCTGTCCAAGAGGTGTGACAGCTTGGAGGCCCTTAAGAAAAAGATGCCAAGGATGACACAGGGCATCTTTCCGTCCAGTGGTAATGGGAGCAAGAACCTTCTCTACCTTGCAGGTCAGCTTTGGTCAACACAACTTTGTTAGCAGAAGAACAGAAAAGGTGAAAACAATAACCAGAGGTTAGTAAGAGGTGGAGTCAACCAGGGTAACATTACAGAAATGAAAATAACAATCGGCATAACCAACATCGCTCAAACACTTCAAATGCTCTATGGGCTCTCCAGAGACAGCACAGATGGGGGATGCAGGGACCCGGGCAGAGCAGACCTCGTCAGAGCCACGTCAGCAGAGCGGGGGCAGGAAAACACTGGACTTGACAAAGCACAAGCAGGGGTAACAAGAGCCCTCCCGCATCCACACAGCCAACCCCAAGGCACGTGGTCCAGGAAAATGATTCTCCGTGAGTCAGGATAAGCATCAAGAAATAAGGAAGAGTGCGTTGCCAGACTGAAAGACACGTGTGCACAGCTAGACCAAGCCCGCAAAAGAATAATTCTGCACATCTAGGAGTTAAAGAGGGAAGAGTCAGTCGCTTGGGAGCCTTCCTGGGAACCCCCTGAAAATGCCACCAGGGAACGTGGCACTCGAACTGTGTCTGTGCGTCAACATGATTTGGGAACTCCAGAAAGCTCAATTTGTTTGATTGGTAACAATGAAGCCAAACCCAAATGGCTGTGAGCAAAAAGGCACCAAACCAGTGTCCTTTTTATTTATTCATGCCAGTCTCGAAATGAAGCACGTGTGTTTCTCTCAGATGGGTACCATCTGCAATTGCGGAATCGCGTTTCCAGCCAACCCATGCCTTGGTCTCTGTAGCAAAGCTGGCCTCAAGACAGAAAGAGATATTTACCAGCTGAGAATAGAACCAGACAGCATTTCAAAATCCCTAGCCCAACTGAGAAGTTGCCGGTCACAGCTAGATGTTGGCTAAGTTGTCCAGAAATTGTGCTTAATTTCTGACGTTATTATACTCTGCATAAAAATTAGAACATGGTTGGAAGTTTTTTCTTTCTTTCTTTCTTTCTTTCTTTCTTTCTTTCTTTCTTAGTATAAACAATTGGGAGACAAAGTCATAGATTAATACATTTTTAAAATAATTTTGGACTCTTTGCCCTTCGATAGGAGAGGGAAAGTAGTACATTTACTACTTGGAGATCTTGAAATATCGTCATCAATAACTCTGATAAGAACATATGATACATCCTGGCCTGTGTACCCCAGATAGCGAGAATAGAACACATTTACCATCTCGAAGGGATGTACCTCTTAGTTTTTGGTAATGGGTCCTCATTCCCTACCTGTCCATTATTCTATATATAGAAATGATAAATCGGGAAATGTATTCTATTTCCCGGGATTTCCATCCCGCACAATACTCAAAGGCCTTCTTGAGGGTCCCATACTATGTACAGAGATTCAGAATGAGAAGGACACCTGTTTGCAGTCTCTCGAAGGTTCTGTGCTCCTCATTTCCCTCCTCGCCATCTACTTCAGCTTCATTTCCACAGAGCCCTAAAAGGCTCCCGGGATCTCTTATAAGGGCTTATTCACATGGTGTAAACTTCCAATGACACTAATTTATGCCTTAACCCAGTTTTTGGCCATTTTTCCTGGCCACTTAGGCTAATTATCCAAGTCATCTGTGTACAATAAACAAGGACCTCCTTCCCTCCTCACTCGTCCTCCACTTCATCCCACCCAGTGGGGCGGTCATAATGCTCCATGGGTAATCATCGCAATTATCTCCATGGCAATAGAGTGCACGGTTATTAGGCTCATGGGACTCGCCATAGATTTGGATGGAAGAAGCATCAAGTTCCAATATCCGGGGCTGAACAATCACCCATACTCAGAGCAAGGTCGGACCCCTCTATAATGCATGTGATGAGTCACGCCAAGCCGCACACAGAGAGGGAGGTAGAGATGGGACCATTTTCCCCAATCTGATGGGTAATTTCCTTGTGCTAATGCTCTCACTGCTTCTCTTCAAGTTCTCTTAAGTGGACTCCATAATCCCCTCTTCTGAAGTTCTATCTCCAACAGTTCTAGCTCTTACAGCCCAACTTTTAATTTTCTGTAGAACTCTGCTTCTGATGGAGCAGGCCACAGACCCGTGCAGCTCCTGAGACCAGAAAGGTATACAGTCTGAATTGAGGTATGCTACGAGTACAAAACACACACTCAGTTCTAAAGGCTTAGCGTGAAAAAAAAGAACGTGAAATGTTTTGTTGATAATTTTATATCATTGCATGCTGAAATGATAATATTTTGGATATACGTGGTTTAGTGAAATGTAAAATGAAAATTAACTTTACGTGTTCCTTTCTATCTTTGTTACATGTAGCTAGTATACTAGGAGATTTGAAATTACATACGTGACTCACATTATATTTCTATCAAGCAACATGGCTATAGAGTTAAATGGGTAATTCCCATTAATTTGTAAATCTGGAAAACGGATGACATGATAAGAATATTTCACATCTGAAGAATACTTCATGCTTTTTTAACGCATGCTTTTGAGTTTTAACTCAATCTGATTAATTACTGCAGGATAACTGGAATTTCTGTCTTTCCACAATCTTTGAAACGGAGATATTCGATTCAATTCCCACATGTTACATTTATTTCAGCATCACCCTCAATGCCTGAGAGAAGTAAGAGCAAGCCAAGGAGACAAAACTTCTTGATTTGAACGACAGAGTGCATTTCCAGGAAAAGAAAGCAAAGCGGCTCCTTTAAGTGAACGCTGATTTGGAGCCTCCAGTCCTCCCATGTACACAGACACACAGACCCTATCTGGCCCACTGGTTGAAGACAGACTCCCGGTTAAAGGCAAACTGGAGTGGCTTACGGGAACAACCAGTCTTACTTCTAGTCCCTGTGGGTGGGAAGCTGACTCTTAGGCAAAGGGAAATGACTTCCACACTGCACATCAGCTTGTGAAGCTGCCAGGAAGCCTTTATAAAAATGTGCAAGCGAACCCAGGTGAAAGTTGGTCAAGAACAGGGGCAAAACGTGAAGTTAAATACTTAGGGGTGCAGTAAATCAATGGGATAGAAAAAAACGAAACGGGTAAATTGCACAGAGGACCATGAGGCTCAACCAGACAAAGGAATGCAGAGATTCTGCGGACTGGTCAGACACCTTTGACTTCCAAGCTAGGGAAGGGTCACGGGCTTGACCTACCCAGGCCCCAGGGGAAAGCCTGAAAACGGCTCACTGCTGCCCTCTGCTGGCTAAACTAGATGGTTTTTGTTGTAAAACCTGGGCTCAAGAAGACCTGTAAAATTCAGATCGTAGCTTAAGAGACAGAAGATCATCTACGCAACGGGCTGACGTTGTGCGACACTGATGGGCAGGCAATGTTATTAGATGTCTCCCATAAGATCACATTTGTAAAGGATAATCTTACTGTTTATTGAGTACCTACCACGTTCCTACCAGGCATTTTACATACAGCTCTGATTTACACAGCTTACCTTCCGAGGCAAGTTTTATTGCCCCACTTTGCAGTTGAGGAGGATAGAGCTCAGAGAGGTTGAGTGACTTTCCAAATGTCACACAGTGAACAAGAGTTACTACCTGGATCTAAATCCAAGTCTTTCTAACATCAACACCCATGCTGTTTCATGACGTCACACTGATGAAATGCCTAAGAACGCCTGACATTTAGTAACTACTCAATAAATGTCAATTCCCTTCCCTCATCATGGCATTCTGACATCATTTTCCTACCACCTGCTGTGTTTGCATTAAATGATGCAGTAGTTCTTACATTATTTCATTCATGGTGACACCCACATAAAAGGCTCTGGTATACCTCCTGATGTATAAAAATATGAATAAAAACCCCGACTGCCCTTTCAGCCATGCTGGAAGCAAAGGTACAAGTCAGGAAGAGTCTGATGTCAACGTCAGGGAAGGTCCTCTACTGGCAAGTATGTGATACCGGAAAGACATCTGCCAACATCTGTGGCCCATGTCTTGACATACTGAACCAGAGACAGGAGGACACCAATGATGATGCAATGTCAGATGGCAAATGGGAAGGAGAGAGGACTGGGAAACAGTAAGGAGGCACTGGCAGAGGGAGCAAAGAGGCCTGGTGCTTGCGTCCAGGCTGTGGCTTAACAAGTAAAAAGGCTGTACCTTCGCAGCCACGCTCGATCTGTCCACTCCGATGGAGGGCATCGTTGATGAGGTCTGGCAGACGCCCGTTCAAATCCACAGATGCCAGACAGCCCTGGAAGCCATCCCGGGAAGCCACCAGCTTGGGAAGGTTGCTATACATGCCTTGGGCCAGACCTGCCATGTAGAGGTCACCTGGATGGGAAAGCAAGTAGCGAGAGCCGATGAGTAAAGGGTAGGGAAACCAGACTCAGCTAGAGCCAAGGCACAGTAAACGATCTCATAGGTAATGGTGACAGAGCTGGGGGAGAAGAAGGGAAATGGCACAAACAACTAATTACCAGAGTCCCTATAGTGTAGAAAGAAGAAACTCACATTGCTTGTGTCATTCATTTTCTACGTGCCATCTCACAAATTTTCATTGCCATATTCAGTCCATGAGGTAGATACTGTTCCCATTTTATGAAGAAGTAAAGATTAACAAGATTTCCAACAAAACAACCATTTACCTAGTGCTTTTTATGGGCTTGTTACCAATACTATGTGGAGGATTTTACAGACATTATCCCATCAAAACTCGTAACAGCCCATAAAGGTAGTAACAATTATTGTCCTCATTTTGCAAAAAAGTATAGAGAAGCTGAACAAGGCTAAGAAATTTTACCAAAGTCACCCAGGCAGTAAGTGATTCAGCTGAGATTTCAAAACTGCACCACCTCCTCTGTATTAGGACGTCCCCGTATGCTGACATCTGTCACCTCACACTCAGCCCCTGCATGCCCAAGATTTACAGAGAAGATGAACCATCCCTCGGGGAGCGACTTAAGTAAAAACTGCATTTTGGTATCATTCAATGTTGTTAAAATAGGATATGCATGAGGTCTCAAATATGCCTGGCGCCCCTAACCCGCAGTTTGTCTCTGCGAACAGCCCTTCGGTTGTAAGACATGATCTAAAGGGGCCTGGGTGGCTCAGTCAGTTAAACGTCTGACCTTTGGTTTCGGCTCAGTCTGTGATCTCAGGTTCATGATCTCAGAGTCATGATCTCGGGATCCATGACATGGAGCGTGGTGTTGGACTCCGCGCTCAGCAGGGAATCTGCATGGGATTCTCTCCCTCTGCGCCATTCCCCCTACACATGCACATTCTCACTCTCAAATTAATAAATAAATCTTAAAAACAAAACAAACAAACAAAAACCAGAAAGAACTGCTCTACAAAGGATAAACTACTTTACAAGGTTTACCTTTCAAATCCAGATTTTTGGCCCCGTTGATAACCTGAGTGACCACCTTAGTGTCCACTTTCAAGCTGTGGGTGTTACTGTTGTCCCGGGTGATGACGACATTGTGCCACTGGTTGTCATTCAGGGGGCGGTCACTGTTGCCTTTGATCACGTTGGGACCATTCCCAAGGTCAAACACGTAGTGTATGTACCTGTGAGTAACAACCACCACCCCATGAGTGGAGATCCCCTCAAGTAGGTGAACAGCAACGTGCAGATAATGGAGCCTGAGGGCTTCCCGTCCCCCACGCCAAGCTGGCATCGTGCAGGAATAATTACGGTTTGATCTAGGATTCCAAGAAGAGTCACAGCCTGTTCTGTCAGACTTCACTTTAATTCCACACTTACAAGGTTCACTTCTTTCCCACGATCTAAAAATCCAGAGCCACAAAAGTAGTACAGGTGGTACATCCCCAACCACTAGGGGGCGGCATTTAAAAAAAAATCAGTGGATTGTGGATCTGGTTTTGGGGGGTTTGTTCTAGTTTTTGTTTTTATTATTTTCCAACACATGGTAGTAAAATATCTTGCAGAAAGAACAGCGTTTAAAACTGAGCATATAGGGGCACCTGGGTGGCTCAGTGGATTAAAGCCTCTGCCTTCGGCTCGGGTCATGATACCAGGGTTCTGGGATCAGGCCCGGCATTGGGCTCTCTGCTCAGTGGGGAGCCTTCTTCCCCCTCTCTCTGTCTCTGCCTGCCTCTCTGCCTACTTGTGATCTCTCTCTGTCAAATAAATAAATAAAATCTTTTTAAAAAATTGCACATATATGGGCTAATGGCAGTGCTGAAAATATCTGTATTTCATTCCTTCCTATAGATCTGGTGGTTGGGTAAAGCACTGCCTGGGGGGCACTATATAGAGGATATACACTCTATCCTCTTTTTGCAAAAAAAAAAAAAAAAAAAAAAAAAAAAAAAAAGGTCATTTTTGTAAAAATGACCTTTTTCCCTAGAGGTTTAAAGGATTATATTTCATAGTAAAAAGTCTGATAGGATTGAGCTATTGGAAGATCTTTAAATAAACTAATGAATTTCTCCTCCTTCCAGCCCTAACCATTACAAAGGTTGTGTTTCACCAATAAGGAGGAGACCAGGTCTTGGGAAGAGAGGGTGAGTAGCAGAATGGACACTTTTTTTTCATGTCCACATGTTAGGTCAAGCTTTCAAGCTTGAGCTGAGATGCCCGGTATAAACGATGTGATCTCTTCCACTTACCCCTTGACCAGCTCAACTGCAATGAAGTCATTGCCGTCGCCGCTGTTGAAAAGAATGAAGCCGTCAGCTGAGGTGGTCTTGAACTGGAAGAAGAGGTGCATGGAGGTGTAGGCCTGGAGCGTGGCCAGGCTCAGGTAGCTGCTCTTGGTCTTGAAGGTGACGGGGTCAGCGATAATGTTCCTCAGTCCAAAACGAGCCTTCAGTTCGCAGTAATCAATGTCGCCATTTTTGCACAGGTCAATGTAGAGCAGGCCATTGAACATGAGGCTCTGTAAGTGGCCAATGAAACTGGACGGGACGACGGAGATGTAGCGTTTCTCCGTCATGATTCCGGTCTCGATATTGTGGAATTCCAAGCGGGTATGGTCCCCCACCATCGTACCTATGAACGTCACAGAGGAGATACACACATGTTATCATGTTTTGTCACAGCAGACTTACTGTATCTTTTACGTTTACATTTAGTTCCAGGAAACAAAATGCTCCATATAGTACAGAGCCGAGGAGACCTCGGTCAGAGGGTAGACTCCTGGCTGGGCTGAGTTCTGTGCACTGCAGCCCGTGCTCTCCATGCAGCTGCTCAGAACATCCCAGCATATAAAAGAGAATATGAGATCATGGATAACTCAGGTTGAAGGACAGACCGATTCGTTTTCTCCATTCAGGAAACAATTAGGTACAAATGCATACTATAGGAAAAAAAAAGTCTTAATTGCCCCAAACCTTGTAAAGATACAACAAACAAGCACGGAGCATTCACTACCAAATGCTTCGTGATATAGTAATTCACCATCTAGTACTTGTGGAAAGATTCTATGGTAGCACATAGGTTCATTTATTTCTGACCAGCAACTGTTGGTTTTTCTGGTAGCACCCCTAACTTCCCCTTGGGAAGCTACTCTCCCTACTTTACCTTAAAACCATCTGGGTTGGCGGAAGCTGATCCTAACCCAGCTCTTGAAGTCATCAGCCTACCCATCCTGGACCATCCAACATTAATTTATCCCCTTAGCTACAGAGTATGGTCTACGGACTAACAAGGTTGTCTGCAAACTTTAGCACACCTCTGAATCACACGGACGGCTTCTTAATACACCGTTTCCTGTGCCCCGCCCTCAGAATTTATCATCCAAAAGTCTGGGGCGTGACCTGAGAACATGCATTTCTATTATATTCCAAGGTGATGCTTATGGAACTGTTCTAGGGACCACCCTTAGAACCAAGGGATCAGCAGGAACAAAAGCTTAAGAGTATTTAGTAGTCACTCAATTAAGTCTAGTAATATTCAGCTCCAGGGCTTTTGCGAGAACACCTACGAGAGAGGCATTCTTTGTAAACAAGGCTTGTTGAAGGGGTAAGAAGAGAGCTCAGAGCTGCTGGAAACCATGTGATAACCACAGAAATTGCCCGAGGAGAAAGCCAACCCAGAAGCCAACCACAAAACGGAGGGAAACCGTTTCTACAGAATGGTACCATTTGAAGGTCCGGATTCAGCAGCCAAAGCCAGGCTTTTAAAAACTAGATGGCAATAGATTCCCTTCTGTGCTTCAAGCACTTAAGATGGGTGTCTGACATTTGAAACTAAGTGATCTCCAGCTGCTAACAAATGAACCAGTGGACCTTTCATGACTTACCTAGACTAGGCTTACCTAGAAAAAGTGAATGACCAGGGCAGGAGGTCATGAAGGGGGCTTGAAATAAATACAAGAGAGAATGGAAATTTTAATAACAAAGTCAAGGAAACCAGCATTAGTATGGTCAGAGTAGAAGGTGGCTCCCCCAATATTTATATGGGCAAATCATTGCAATTTAACCAACCATGTCCTGAGGATACCCCAGCACTGACGGAAGGACAGGGAGAATCCCTCCTCCTACCCTCTTCTGTTGTCTCCATTCACACTGAAGAAACTCCACTAGCAAGGCACTCCTAGCATCTCTACTCCCTCTGTTACAGCTTTCCAGAGGTAAAGGAGTGACATAATCTGGAAGGTTAAGGAAACTACCGAGAAATTGTATTTCCATAGCTCAGCCCCTGGCACTTCCTGTTTCTCTCTAGGGGAACGAGCTGTCTTCAAGAAACACCCAGCGTACCCCCACCCAACCCACAGCACTGGTGTTAGAGGAGCAAGTCTTGCTTCAGTGGAGCAAGACTTGAATTAGGACCTAAGCCCTGAATGAGTGAGTGTTCAAGTGGGCAATTCCCACTCTGAAATTCAGTAGATGTTAACCACAGTTTTCCATACCAGTGTTTCCACTAGCAAAGACAATACTTGGGTTTTACCAGCCTTGCATTTGTTTTGTTTTGTTTTGTTTTTCCCTCTATTGGTATTGGTGTAGAATTAAAGTAACAGGAAAAAAAGAGAGAGAGAGAGGAAGGGATTGTATTTTCTTAGGTCCCTGAAACTTCAGTACCTGGGAGAACCAACCAGATCTCACCTTCAGATGTTCAGTATTAATGTGATTTCTCTGAGATCTGATGCAGGGAACTGTTTATAAGCACAAAAATCAGATTTATGTTTCATGAGCTTCTATGTGGTGTTTTGACGACTAGTGACAAATCATTCGCTTAACGTAAGCAAAAACAACATAATGGTGTTGGTTAAATTAAAGATAAAATTGTAATAGAACAAAAATAAAAAATGTAACATAAATCTGCTAACAACTGAATAGGAGAACTACTGTATAAAATTACTTAGTATTGAAAATCGGACTGGTCATGAAAATGAAAACTAGCATAACCTAAACTCATGTGCCATAGAACAGGGAAGTGACTTAAACAAATATTCACAGTCGATTAGCTTACAGCTGTTCATACAGGGCTGAGACTGGGGCTGGAGAATGATGGGGAGGGAAAATGAGAGCCAATCTCCTTGGGGACCCAGGAACTAAACCATGATGATGCTGGGAGCCATGCTAATTCTTATTTTAAAAAAGAAGAAGGAGAAGGAGAAGGAGGAGAAGGAAGAGAAGGAGAGGGGAGGGGTAGGAGAAAGAGGCAACCAGCAATGACAACTAAGAAGTGATAAAGAGGTGATCCTTGGTGAAAACTGGGATTCCAAAAGAAACCGGAAAAGGCAAATTTAAAGTCAACCGGGAGCTTTTAGAAAAATTATAGATAAATTGGACTCTACAGTTGAGGGGTTAGGAAATTCTGCTCACTAGAAAATGGATTTCATAAAGCAATGAAGTCGGGGCCCCTGGGTGGCTCAGTGGGTTAAAGCCTCTGCCTTTGGCTCAGGTCATGATCAGGGTCCTGGGATCAAGCCCCACATCGGGCTCTCTGCTCAGCAGGGAGCCTGCTTCCTCCTCTCTCTCTGCCTGCCTCTCTGCCTACTTGTAATCTCTCTCTCTGTGTCAAATAAATAGATAAATAAATAAAATCTTTAAAACATAAATAAATAAAGCAACAAAATCATGTACAGTGTTGACAGAGAGAAGAGACTGAAGAAGGTTAAGAGGGAGGAAACTAACCATGGAATTTCAGAGCACAGCCCATGGACACGGACTGATTTAAGGTTTTAGGATGAGTCCCAGAGCCTCAACTAGAAGTTGCAGTGGGGGGGGGGGGGGGGTGGGCAACATGGGGCCAAATTAGAAAAGGGACAGCTTCTCCAGGTACTAAAGGAACTCACTTGGCTGTGGATGGAGGGCCCCCAAAAAGCGTATTGCACCTGGAGAAAGCATTAAAGAGATTGCCTGAAGTCTGAACCTTGTGCCAAACCAAGCAAATAAACATATAGATATTTAGATATATAGATATATATCTGTGTATCATCTAATCCATATCAGTAACTGGGAATCTTTCCTTATCTGCCCCCAATGCTATCTATAGACTAAAACTCCCTTCCGCTCAAGGGGCAAATACATACATACTTCACAGGAGCTGCTTTCGAATTTCAGAGGGAAGAGGAGTAGTTTGGGAGAAAGATGATAAAAAAAAAAAAAAAAAGCAAGACTACTGAATATTGTTCATGTGCCAGGCACTGTACTAGGCACTTCATAACCACCAAATGTCCTTATCACAATTAATAGGTATCATTATCTTGCTTTAGAGAGGAGGGCATGTAGCTCAGAGAGGTGAAGCCATGCGATCAGAGTTCACACAGGTGCTAAGTGGTCGACCCTCTTACTGAACCCAGGTGAGCTCAGTTCCCAAGCCTCCATCTTAGCTTGTACCCAACACAGCAGAGATAAAGCTCGACTTATTCCTTACGTGATGGTGGGTGGAATTTAAATGGTGCCATTTCTGCTGAAGTTGGTGTGATGGGCTCAGGCTCCTTCCCAGGAGCCAAGAACCATCACGTCCCTCCGTCTAAGTCATGTGTTATACATCCAGCACCTTCCCTGGAACAGCCATGTTGCCTTGACTCCTACCTCACATTCACCTCTTAATTCCCTGATGGTCAACAGCAGTTTGCACACCAGCCCTCACACTGCTAATGTCTGTGGAGAACATAAACCTATAGAAAAACTGTCCAAGTTCAAGCTGTAACTTTCCTACCAGGCATGCACTGGACGAGCATATAGGCTCTGAGGCTGTGCCACCTGGGTTAGGCAGCTTTTCTGTGCCTCAGTTTCCCATCTATGAAATAGGTATGACGTTTTCAGAATTAGCTGTATCAATTCAGAAAAACTACTTAGAATGGTGCCTAGGGCTTAAATTGCTAGCTATTAATTATGCATCACTCTTCTTTTTCTTCTTTCTCTGAAATGCATTAATAATTTTCCAGTATTTCGATTATTTGTCACCCTTTCCTAGAACACAATCTCTTTTTAAGTAGAAACCACTTCTCACCTCTTCTGTATGTCCTGTAGTGTTGGGCAGAGGGGCCTGATGATAGCAAGCACCCCTCACATGTGAGGAAGGAGACCGTAACTGAGACATTTGCTTTGGAGTCAGAGTTTGGATCATTGCCATTTCTACACATGAAGTTCCTCATCAACACTAAAAGCTTAGCAAAGAAATAATGGCAAAGACTTAGAGGAGGCAACTTGGCCTCCTACGGCTTCCAGACACAGGGAGGGAAGTTAAGAAAATGAAGGCTTATAAAGTTTCAGCAAAGGATGCATATTTTGCCCACAATCCTCCAGTTCCACCACTCCCATACCCTCCTCTCCATAATACCAAAATTTTCCAAACGTATATGCTGTAAAATGTTCTAATAATAATAAAAATAATAATGATGATGATGATGAAAGTTCTGGAGCCAAATAAACTTGGAAAACACTTCACATGTGATTATGGAGGATTAGCAATATGTATCAGCATAGTGAATGCTCCAGTCTTTAAGTCTTCACTAAAAGTCTTGCAATAAAGAAGACCATTGCATTCTGTTGAACCCTAACATTTGCAAACTCCGCCTCATCATGTCTTTTTATTCATGAGAGGAACAAATCTTCCTCAGAAAATGACTTTTTTACAGCTTGTAGGTGCTGTGTAGAGTAAGTGACAGACAAGGAAGTCAACATGAACCAGAGAAGTCAAAAGAGGGATGAATCTCTGTCGTAGCAAGAAGCTGGTACACTCTGGGTGGAGTGGCGGGGGTCCTGCAGCATTAGATCCCAGTTCCGAGGAGCATAACCCAAGGGTTCTTTTAATTTACTTGTGATAATAGAAATCCAACTCAATCAATCAATCCATCAATCTTTATTAACTGTCAACTGAACTTAATACCTTTCCAGGAATACATTGTATTACAATAAACGAAAACCACCAGGCCAAGGACTATTTCTTTCCTTGCCATTGATTTCTTATGAGTGTGACCTCTTCTTTGCATCATTTCTACAAACTAGCTGAAAATTTGACACCCTAGGGGACCTTAAACAGCATGAAAGGGACTACTAAATAAGCCAATAAGACACTACTTAATAACCTGAGGGCTGTGTGGTATTTTAGTTTCATTGCCTGATTTTATGACTTCTGTGAGCTAAAATTAAAATTCCCAAACCCATTATCACTGTAAGAAGCAATCCAAGGTTGTAGCTCATAAGCAAAATAGCGCTTTTCTTCTCCCAGATTTCTTTATCCTTATGGCTGCTCTTTTCCATCAGCAGTAAAGCAGGGGATAAGGGTTGAAAATGAAAGAGCTTCATTAATTTCGAATATCAAATTACTGAATGACTGGGGCCTTTATGGTGTAGTCCTGCTTTTTAATTCTTAGCGGTAAGAGAAAGCACACTTTATAATTACCTTTATTCTAAAGTTTCTATAAAAGAATAATGACCATGGGAGGCTCTGCACATCACTGTACCCTCAGTCCTGCTGTTCTTTACTACTACAGTTTGGAGGGTATGCAATTTCCTGGGAAAATAAAAGGGATTCGCTGCGTGGAGAGACTGGGGCGAGGTCGCCATCTAGTGGCTGCTCTTCAAAAACATGCTGGCAACAACCGTGGGGCTGCTGGGCTCAGCCCTTAGGAACAAGCGAGGGATGTACCACGCGCAGGCTCCCCCGTCTGCTTTAACAGCCCATGGGGATGTCTTGAATAATTAATTCGGGGATGGTTGTGGGTTCTAAACCATATAACCATTTTTACCTCTCTTTGCTTACATTCATTAAGCAAAGCTAATTTACCCTTTCAGACGGGTAGAAGAGTAAACTTACCCCTTAGTATGTACGTACAACAGGAGTTTTAGATACTTACGATGGCTCTGTTTGACTTCATTTTTGAGGAGAGAGGGGCGAGTGCTGCAGTCTTCACTAAAATGTACTCCTCACCTCACGCTAAGGTATGCCTTTGTATTTTCCTGTATCTTTAAACAAACCATTTTCTTAGGATGGATTGTGAAGCCCAGCGATTAGCCTGATTTGATGACGTCACACAGACATGGATTTGGAGCTTAATTACACAGAGCCTTCTACAGGCCATGCCCTCTTAAGTAAAATAAGAACAATGATCTTGCAAGGCAATGGGGAATTACAGATTTAAGAAGCTGATACACGTAAGACAGTTATCCCAGTATCTAATGCCTACTGGGCACTGGATATATGCCTCCTGCTCTTCTCCTATCCATAGACTCTTCTCATCTCTGCGCCCGCACGCGCACACACACACACACACACACACACACCCTCTCTCTCTCTCTCCTACCTGCACGCTATATATGTGGCTCTCTGTAATTCCTGACTCCAGAAGGATAGCAGTCCAGGCTCTTGAATATAAAATTAAATTATAGGACCCCCAAACTGCACAACCTTTAAGCTGGAGAGGTCCTTAGCAGCAATAGAATTTCAAGTTTAAAAATGAGGAAATGAGGAAAAAAGTTTATTATCTTTTATTATCTATCCCAATGGCAAAAAGTGTTTTAGTTACAATGACTATATTAAATCCCAGGGATCCTGACTACCTTGACTGTCTTATTCACAGAAGACTCTAGAGAGAGTTTATGCCATCAACTTCAATTGGCAAGGATCAGACATGGTAAGTGGCTTTTCCAACATGTGGCAGAAAATTCACGTCAGGGCCCAGATCTCCTGACATCCCCAGTGCTCTATGTGATACTCCATGGTGCCCCCAAGTTGTCTTCTCCCATATGGACAAAAGTTCTGCAGAACAGAAGTGCACCGCCCTGGAATCTCAAGGAGTCTAGACTTATTTGGACACAACATGGACGGTGCCCTCTCTCTTCTACCCTGGACCTCATCAAATGACCCACCCAATTTTGAGCTACCTTCAGAAGACACTCCTGATTTCTCTAACCCAAAATGATAATCTTCTCTTCTGCCTGGCCATGACTACATTCTTACCCACCCATGTTAGAATCTGATTATATACTTTTTGTCTTATTTTCAATGCCTGTGTCCGATCTAATCAACTAGATTGGTTTATTCTTTGAGGAAACAGATAAGCTCTTGTGCTTCCTTCTTACCTTCTACATCCTTAGCACACTGCTGATGTGTACCACGCTCTCAAGAAACACCTATCACTTACGTGAAGCTCTGAATGTTCCTTTACCTATGGATGGATCCATTCGTTTATCCACTGCCTACCCAGAAGTTGAATTCCACCAAGCCAAGGACTTGCCTATTTATTTACCTCCCTATTTTCAGTGCCTTCTGAAGCAGTGCTCACTACAGGGTAGGTACTCAATTAATAACAATTAAATAAATGATGACATAAATGAATAGTTATTCAGACCCTTCTAAGTAGCCTGTAGCGATCTCAGTACTTATTTTTACCTGTAATGCTCTGAATTTCTGGTTGACCCATCTCCCTCTCCTAGAGAGTAAGTCACTTACTGAAAGAAAAAACTGGCCATTGGGAAGATGATTGATAAGTGATTTTTGAATAAATGAATAATAAAGGAGCCACAGATCTCTACATCTACTCCCCAGACACATATTCTATGCCTAAAGAGAGAGACCCATCAACATACAATGACAGTAATGGCTAAATTCTGTAAGACCGATCAATGAAAAGGGATTACGAAAATACAGAGGAAGACCTAAGAAGTAGCCTTACCTGAGCTCTTCAACAAGAACATGTCACATGACTTCTGTTAAGTAAAATAAAATGTGTTTCAAAAAATCCTTTGCTCACTGAATGACCAAGAGGATGATGAGAGCGAAAAAAAAGAGACACATTTCCCTACGTAGAGCTGTACTCACCTTCAGCCACATCGTCGTCCACGGTTAACTTAAGGCTTTTTCCTCTCCGCACCACCCGGACGGTGTGCCATTCGTTGTCATTGAGCTTCTGCCCCGCGTACAGGGTCTCGGGTCCTTTGCCTAAGGACGATGGTAAGTGTCAAAATTAGAACTGATTCTGAAAGTAGCAATCATGGTATCAGAACTGTCAAAGCCACACTGGTGCACAGAACCCAGGAGTGTTCAAGGAATCATACATGCGCCCCCCCACCAAAGCCCATCCCAGTGTCACTGCCCCAACAGGGTGTTCCACAACTGTCCCCAAATGCAAAAGTCTCAACTCATATGGACACTGGCAAAGCAGTGAAAGAAATATGTGCCCTCCTTTGTCTACAGAGAGAAAGTTCTAAACCACCAAGGGCAGTAAGTGAACATTTATAAAAAACAGTAGTCAGCTGTCATTTTGTTTCCCAAAGTCTTAGATTTCAGATGAATTTCTTGAAGATACAGGAAATTCATCATTCATTTTCAGAATAATTTGATCACTTAGGCATAATACACCAGTCTGGCTTTTGGAGTATCCATCAATTGGATGAGAAAAGTGTTCTGTAATATATACGCTTAACTTGATATTGCCATTAACCCACAGTCCTACCAGGATACAGTAACCATAGAAATCAAAACAGAAATCATCACAATAAAAATGTTGAGGTCTAACCCACATGATAAGTAATGCTCCTGAAGGGAATGTGAGGGGCCCCAGACTTATCCCATTGTTCATCATCCTCCAAAAAGATCTCAATATCTAAAAAAGTGAAATAATGGAAAATTCCAAAATTGAACCCTTTCAGGTCTAAAGAATGTTCAGGAGAAAGTGCCACCAGATACAGAAATAAACCAAGTTGTCTCAAAGGATCCAGGATCAAAATGCTCAAGAGGATGTTCAGGTGTACGCTAGGAAAAATCAGGTTCAACAAGGAATTACAGTACTTAGAGGCCAAAGATGACAAGATAAACACTGAGGCATTATAAGAATTTGGTTAGTTATGGGGGGAGAATGTCATATTTTGCTCACCATTGAACTGAGATGTAAATTTAAAAGACAAAGAAGATTACATAAACCAGAGAACTTAGACCAAGTTCCAAGTTCATTATGTGGCTAGCTGAGCCTGTGCAGAAGGACCCCACATGAGTCTTCCTAGATTGGTCAATGACTATGTAGAAAGCCCTATTCTGGAAATAACTTGGAAAAAAAAGATGAACATGTAACTAGCCAATATATCCCTATGTTATTATGCTTCTGAAATATTTCAGCGTACAGCTGTATCCAACATTTAAAAACACAGTAGGTGCTGTAATGAGCACTTACTGAACAACTGATACATGCATAGGTATTTATTTCTTTGGAAACCATCAACTAAGGTCAATACATTTTTATCGAGCTAATTTTGAGAGCTCTATTCTATAGCTTTGACTGGCCACTCCACCCCTCCTCTGCCTCCAAGGCTCCAAAACAGTGTTGTATACATTTAGGGAAGAAAATTTTAAAAATAGTATCACTTGGGTTAAGGGTGTAGGAGAAGAATAAATGAAACAAGATGGGATTGGGAGGGAGACAAACCATAAGTGACTCTTAATCTCACAAAACAAACTGAGGGTTAATGGGGGGAGGGGGTTGGGGGGGTGGGATTATGGACATTGGGGAGGGTATGTGCTATGGTGAGTGCTGTGAAGTGTGTAAACCTGGCGATTCACAGACCTGTACCCCTGGGGATAAAAAGATATTATATGTTTAAAAAAAATAAAATTATAAAAAAAAAATAGTATCACTTGTGTAAATATCTTTAAACTGGACCATTTAATTCTTAATTATTATTGTTGGTACTGAATGCTCTTTTTAAGAGTAATGATGGAGTGTCTTGGTGGCTCAGACAGTTAAGCAGCCAACTCCTGATTTTGGCTCAGGTCCCAATGTCAGGATCCTGGGTCCAGCCCCGAGCCCCATCAAGCTCTGCAGGAAACACACTCAGCAGGAATCTGCTTCAGGATTTTTTCTCTCTCCCTCTGCCTCTACCCTGGCTCACTCAGTTTCTCTAAAATAAATAAATAAATAAATAAATAAATCTTTTTTAAAAAAGAATACTGATAGCAGTTGAAGTTTGGAGAAATTTTCTTCTTGAAAAATAAAGGTTTTCAAAGTTAAAAGGTCTCTTTTAATTAAAATGTACACAACAGGTCATATATATATATATATATATATATATATATATTTTAGAATGTATCTATATCTCAAGTGCAATGCAAATGCACAAGAATCCTAACAAATCAATGAAGAAATTAAAAGTGGACCAAATGTACCCAAAATTGGGTATGATGCCATGAGATCAATGAATCTGAGGGGGAAAAAATTCCATGATAAGCCATTTTATATTCGATTTTAGCTGTTCTTTGTGAGTATGCCTGCCTTAATATTATCTAAAGCCTATACACTATAATAGAATTTTTCCTACATCTCACCTCATTAGACAACGTTGTTCATTATCTCATTAAATTCAGGTCTAAGATTGATGTAACAGTCACCTTTACAATGCAAACTGTGCAGGCATTGAGAGAAAATGGGCCACATCATGTGGGTGCTTTGAAGCAAGAACAGATGTTCTCAGAAGAAACAAATCTGCCTTTGTTTTTTGTGTGTTCTTATCCTCTTTATTCTACATGCAAATGTTCCAATAAGAGAGAGGAATGTGAAGAAAGACATATGAAACACTGGCTACGGAGGTAGCACTGTGACAAAGACAGGTTTTTCCAACACCTGTAGGTGGCATCCACTCTTCAGGCAATGTTTGTGCATCACTTTGTTTTCACAATTGGGGACAAAGTGAGAGGGAGAAATACTAACACCAACACGGTCACAAGTAGCGACATGGCCACAATGGTGTCTTATTAGTCATCGGTGTAAAACGAGCTTTGCAATCAGCCCAGTGTGTTTTAAATGCTGGGTGACACCTTGCAGGTGCTTGGAATTTTCTTGTGTCAAATTCAGACAAAAAATATTTAATTGTCCTTTTGACTCTAAAACTTCAGGATGTGATGGTCTATGACCAAACAGGTGGGAAAAGACCTGAAACCTCTCATGCCCTACCGCTTGGCTACAGTTGCTGTCTCCAACCCCAATAATTCTCATGACTCTGCCAGGAGGAAAAAAAAAAAATTCCATACCCATACCATTACAATGGTAGGGAAATGAATATTATTCAATATTCATTTTCAAGCAATAAATACAGAAATCCCAGCGAGCATCCAAAAAAGTCTCTGCCTCCAAAAGTGGAAAGTCAATGGCATTTATCTTTAATCAAGCCAAAAGGTCATTGCATCCCTACCAGAGAGAAAGTGATTTTAAACGCAGCTGGAAATGTAGGCAAACAGAGGGCAAGAACAAATCTAATTTGTAGCCTAGGCATACAATGGGATTAGTAAATGATACAAGATGTAGATATAAGCCGAAAGCTAAAACATACACATTGTTAGGTCTTCAGAGAAGGAGGATTTAAGTCTAGGCAAGACTTCCCCCGCAGAGTCAAGCATCAGTAAAACAATGAATGTGAAGACAAGGATTAGACCAAGAGGAGAAACTTTTTTTTTTTTAAAGTTGAAATTTAAAATAGAACCGATGGGAGTTTAATTTCTAAAAATTAAAAGGAAAAAACCTCAAAGCCACTTATTTTCCTACATTGTCCTTCTTCTTTTTTGTAGCAGGGAGAAATGGGATCTGTGATTCGGTACATACTGGATATATGAATTAGAGGGATGCTTCCTTAAGCTGTTTACATAGTAACTACTGATCTCACACACACAAAAAGAAATCAGCGTTTGATTTCCTTTAGGCTGCTTAGGTCATCACCATTTGATCTAAATACAGGAAGCGAAAAACTTATCTGAGACCCTATAGTTGAATTTCCCAAGTAATGACCTCTGTGATGGAGTAAAGAAGCAAAATCCCAGCTGGAGATTTCCAGGACGCAGAGGTCGGTAGAAGCGAGTGTTCAATTGTTTACTACCACTGGAAAAAGAGCCTTTAATGAATCCTTTGGGCGATACCACCAAATTCCCACTCTTGACCTCATCTCACTGCAACTCACTTGGCACCATCTCTTAGTTAAGTCTGGTCTCACCAATAATGGTCTAATTTTCTGATGAATGTGGATAGAGGAGGAGATGTCACGGATGAATAATTCAAGATTATTTTCTTGACCTATCCCTACAGGAACCCTGTGGAAGGCTTATTTTTTCCAGAAGCCAGAACTAAGAGTAAAATCAAAGTGAAAAGTTAGGAGAAAGACACTCTTTGGGAGAGGATTCATTGCTGATTGCTTGGAGGAAGATGACGCTTAGATGTTAGTAGATCGTTCCCTCTGGGGGGACAGGGAATAGGAGCATGTGGGAAAAAAGTCTGTATTTGGGGATCCCTAAAGGCACACACTTTCACAAGGTGGACTTTGGATTTTGAAGGTTTTGAACCTACTGCGTTGTTTTCTTTTTACATTTGCGTTGTTTTCGTTGTTGCTTTTTGGTAGACTCCTCAGAGCACATGAATTTGCCATTCCCCCCAGGAGCAATGTAACCAGCACAACTATAAGACACCCCAATATGCATTCGTTTGTCAACAAATTTCTAAAACCTGCCCAGACCAACGAAACCAGAAGGTTTTGCTCATACACAGGGAGTAGAAATTCCTTCCATCTGCCACGAAGTATGATCTCCAAAACTGGGTGGGTAAGACTGGAAACTTACTTTGCTTGGGGTTGGGAGGCAGGGGCAGGGATTAAGGGCACACTATCTATACCATAATCACTTTGCTTTACCTGAACATCTTTCTATTTGTGCAGGAGAGAGAAAGAAACAACTACTTGATTTCCCTTGGTTAGCTATGTTTCACATGAATCAAAATTTCTACAATGCATACAAAAACATGAAATTCACTCCCTTAGAAAGGTATAGCAAAAGGCATGTGATTATACATCTAAATGGCATGATAAAGAAATACTCGAAATGACTGTGTTAGCTTTAAAGAACACCAAAAATATTTAAAAAGAGAAAACTTACCTTCACTTCCACCAGCACCCTAGGTAGGCCAGCTGAAC